TCTAGTCTATAGTCTAGTCTATAGTCTAGTCTATAGTATAGTCTATAGTCTAGTCTATAGTCTAGTCTATAGTATAGTCTAGTAGTCTATAGTCTAGTCTATAGTCTATAGTCTAGTCTATAGTATAGTCTATAGTCTAGTCTATAGTCTAGTCTATAGTCTAGTCTATAGTCTAGTCTATAGTCTAGTCTATAGTCTAGTCTAGTCTAGTCTATAGTCAGTCTATAGTCTAGTCTATAGTCTAGTCTATAGTCAGTCTATAGTCTAGTCTATAGTATAGTCTATAGTCTAGTCTATAGTCTAGTCTATAGTCTAGTCTATAGTCTAGTCTATAGTCTAGTCTATAGTCTAGTCTATAGTCTAGTCTATAGTCTAGTCTATAGTAGTCTATAGTCTAGTCTATAGTCTAGTCTATAGTCTAGTCTATAGTCTAGTCTATAGTCTAGTCTATAGTCTAGTCTATAGTCTAGTCTATAGTCTAGTCTATAGTCTAGTCTATAGTCTAGTCTATAGTCTAGTCTATAGTCTAGTCTATAGCTAGTCTATAGTCTAGCTATAGTCTAGTCTATAGTCTAGTCTATAGTCTAGTCTATAGTCTAGTCTATAGTTAGTCTATAGTCTAGTCTATAGTCTAGTCTATAGTCTAGTCTATAGTCTAGTCTATAGTATAGTCTATAGTCTAGTCTATAGTCTAGTCTAGTCTAGTCTATAGTCTAGTCTATAGTCTAGTCTATAGTCTAGTCTATAGTCTAGTCTATAGTCTAGTCTATGGTCCAGTCTATCGTCTAGTCTAGTAGTCTATAGTCTAGTTAGTCTATAGTCTAGTCTATAGTCTGTCTATAGTCTAGTCTATAGTCTAGTCTATAGTCTAGTCTATAGTCTAGTCTATAGTCTAGTCTATAGTCTAGTCTATAGTCTAGTCTATAGTCTAGTCTATAGTCAAGTCGAAATCCTTAAAAAACTTTTAATTTGTTGTCAAAATATTCAAAAACTGTTCAAAATCTTAACAAATTTCAAATATTTTTTTTTTAAATTTTGAAAATTCTTTTAAATTATTGAAATTTTTTAAAAAAATTTTAAATTCCATAATATTTCAATGTATTGCAAAATCTTTTCAATAATTAGAAAATCTTCTTTTAAGTTTTAAACATTTTTTGTGCAAAATCTTTAAATTTTGTTTAAAATATTTAAAAATACCCAAATTTTTAAACCGTTTTCAAAATTTTTATTATAAATCTTGAAATTTCGTTAATTTTTTTTTATAGTAGTTCAAAATTTTTAAAATTTGTCTTTAAAGTTTCGTTGTTGTTTTATAAAATATTTTTTTTTTTTTTTTTTTGATTTTTCAATATTTTTTATTATTTTGTGTTTTTTTTTTTGTTTAATTTTTAACCAAAATCAAATCTCGTTTTTATTTCATTTTGCTCTTTACAACTTTAAAACTGATTGCGTAAACTTTTTAAGAATTTTCTCAACTCTAACTTGTTATAAAAAATTATTATTACGTTTTTGTTTTAATATTATTTGTTTTTCTTCTTTTTGCACAAGTTTAAAAATTGAACTTTTTTGTTTGGTTTTTTTTTTGCAATTTTATTTTTTTACACAAAAAAAAAACTGAAAAATTATAAAAAAAACGTAAACTAAACACGCGTTTTAGACAACCACTCGCTAAGAAGACCGTAACTCAACTGTTAGATTATTGTTTTTACTCTTCTTGGGACAGTCAAAAGACAACAAGAAAACAAACAAAAACCATTAACACAACAACAATAAAAGCCACTACAATAACAATAACAAAAAATACTTAAGATCTCATTGTAGCTTTACAGAAAAAGCCTTTGAATTGGAAATGAAAACAAAGTAACTGCTTTGTAAGTTTGAAAACAGGTTAATAACAAAAACAAAAGCTTTTTATTCTCACTCTCTTCTCTTTTTGCCAGCATTTATTAACACAAAAAGCTGTTTGTTTAAAAGCTTTTCTTAACAATTTACTAAATAACTGTTATTTAAAGAGTAACCATTTTAATAATAAAAAAAAGCTTTGGCAAAAAAGCTTTCTAAAAGTTTTGACCCAAAAAAGCTTTTTTTTCCAAAACCAACCGTTAAAATCGTAATAAATCATTTTATTCTCCCTGTTGTCCCTTTTCAATTAAAACTCTTTTTCACAAAATTTTCGTTTTTTTTTTTTTTCTTCTTCAAGTTGGTTCTTCTCACCAACTCCTTTTTTAATATATTTTCTTAGTTTTTTCTTTTTTTATTTGTCTTTTTTTTTTTAATTATTACAATTTTTTTTTTCAATATAACCGTGTTTTCTTTTGTCAATATTAATTTTTTTTGTATAATTTTTTCTCGTTTTTTTTCTCTAATTTTTGTTTTTTGTCTTGTTTTAAGTTCAATATTTAATAATAATAATAATATTAATTAACCATTTAATTGTATCAATCACTTATTTAATAATATCAATTATAATTTTATTAAAAGTTTTTTTCTTTTTTGCTTTTCTTAGGGGATTTTCAATAAAATATTTAGGAATTTTTCCTTCAATTTATTTAATTTTTTTAACGCTAAAATTATTGTTAAAGAAACTAAAAAAAAACTTAATAAAAATAAATAATTGTATAAAAAATTAAAACAATTATTTTAAGTTAAATTGTTTATTATGAGATATTTAATTTCTCATTAATTTTATAGTGCTGTTCAGTAAAGTCTAGTTTAGTTTAGAGTCTAGTCTAGGTAATAGTCCAGTCTGGACTATAGTTTAGAGTTTAGAATCAAAAGTCTGATCTAGGGTCTGATCTAGAATCTGATCTAGAGTCTGGTTTATAGTCAAGCCTAGAGCCTAGACAAGAGTCTGGTCTGGAGTTGAGACAAGAGTCTGGTATAGAGTCTAGACTATAGTCTGGTCTAGAGTCTAGACTAGAGTGTTGCCTAGAGTCTATATTACAGTCTGGTCTAAAGTAGAGTCTAGTCTAGAGAATAGTCTAGAGTCTAGTATAGAGAATAGTCTAGAGTCTAGTCTAGATTCTGGTCTGAGTCTTAACTAGAGTCTGGTCTAAAGTCTAAACTAGAGTCCGGTCTAGAATCTAGACTAGAGTCTGGACTTGAATCTAGACTAGAGTCTGCTCTAGAATCTACACTAGAGTCTAGCCTAGAGTCTAGACCAGAGTCTAGCCTAGAGTCTAGCCTAGAGTCTAGACTACAGTCTAGCCTAGAGTCTATACTACAGTCTAGCCTAGAGTCTAGACTACAGTCTAGCCTAGAGTCTAGACTACAGTCTAGCCTAGAGTCTAGACTACAGTCTAGCCTAGAGTCCAGCCTAGAGTTTAGTGTAGAGTCTGGTCTGAGTCTTAACTAGAGTCTGGTCTAAAGTCTAAACTAGAGTCTGGTCTAGAATCTAGACTAGAGTATGCTCTAGAATCTAGACTAAAGTCTAGCCTAGAGTCTAGACTATAGTCTCGACCAGAGTCTAGACTAGAGTCTGCTCTAGAATCTAGACTAAAGTCTAGCCTAGAGTCTAGACTAGAGTCTAGCCTAGAGTATAGACCAGAGTCTCGACTAGAGTCTACACTAGAGTCTAGACTAGAGTCTAGCCTAGAGTCTAGACTAGAGTCTAGCCTAGAGTCTAGACTAGAGTCTAGCCTAGAGTCTAGTCTAGAGCCCAGACTAGAGTCTAGTCTAGAGCCCAGACTAGAGTCTAGCCTAGAGTATAGACTAGAGCCCAGATTAGAGTCTAGCCTAGAGTCTACAGTATAGACTAGAGTCTAGACTAGAGTCTAGGCTAGTCTTCGCTAGAGTCTAGACTAGAGCCTGGACCATAGAGTCTGATCTAGAGTCTAGTCTAAGATCTTGACTAGAGTCTGGTTAAGAGTCTAGCCTAGACTCTAGTCTAGAGTATAGACAAAGTCTGGTCTAGAGTCAGGTCTAGAGTCTAGTCTAGACTCTTGTTAGAATTTAGTAGAGTCTAGTCTAGAATTTAGTAGTCTGGGCTAGAGTCTAGACTAGAGTCTGGTCTGCTTTTTTTTAAGGTTTAACATTTTCATTGAAAATTTAAAGTTTTGATTAAAAATTTATTTGAAATAAAAATATTTAGTTAAAATTGGAGTTTTTTATGAAAAATTAAAATTTTTTTAAAGATTTTTGATTCGAAATAAATTTTTTTCAAATTGGAAATTTTAAGAAAAAAATTAACATTTTTGTTGAAATTTTTTTTATGGAAAATTAACATTTTTAAGTTTTTTGATTCGAAATTAAATTTTTTTTCAAAATTGGAAATTTTTTTTTTTACAAAATTTAACATTTTTGTTGAAAATTTAAAGTTTTTGATTAAAATTTATTTGAATATTAATTTTTTTATTTGAAGTAGAAATCTTTTGTTAAAATTTGAAATTTTTTTTTAAATTTGAAATTTTTTTTTCGAAATTTGAAAATTTTTTTTTAAACTGATGTTTTTTAATTGTTTTTTTAATTGAATTTTTTAAAAATTTTAAGAAATTTAAATTTCTTTTAAAAATTTGTACATTTTTTGTTCAAAATTTATTTTTTTTTTTCAAAATTTAAATTTTTTGTTTGAAAAATAATTATTTAAAAAATCATAAACAAAATTATTTTTAAGTACTTTTTATTTAAAATCAAGAAAAATATATATAAGTTTTCAAAAATTATAATAATTAACAGGGGGGCACAGAAAAATATAACAAAAAGTTTGAAAACTAATAAAATACAAACTATTTTTTTGGGGGGGAGACGGGGAGTGTATGGAACTATAAATCTAAAACAATATATATAAAACAAATGCTTTGTATTTTAGACAAACAAAATTATTTTTTAACAAAATTTTATAAAATTTAGAATGATAGGGTGTTCAAGATTACAACTTTTTTTTTTTTTTTTTGGGGGGGGGGGGGTGTTTCTTTAAAAAAATACATGTATTAGGGATTTTTACAAATTTAGTTTCTGCTTAGTTGTAGTTATTATTAAATAGGTTTTGGTTTTAATTTTTGTTTTTTTTTTGCTTAATGTTTATTTAAGTTTGTTGTGGTTTTTGTTGTTGTTGTATTTGGTTAAATATGAGGCGTTTGTGTTAAACTAAAGTTTAATTTAAGAGGAATTTTGTTGTGTTTTTTTTTTTTTTTTTTTCAAGGTGTTGTTTTGAAAACAATTTGAAGTTTGTAGAAAAAAACTTTAGTAAATTTGTTTTTGGTGAACAAAAGCAAGTCTTTGTTAAGGCTGTTTTTGAAAATATTTTAAGAAAAATATTTCAAATACCTTTTTAATTATAAACGAAAAATTTACTAAAGTTTCTTGTTTAAATAGAGTTTTTAAAAAACAATAAATTCTTTTCTTTAAGAAACTTAAAATTATTTAGAAATTATGTTTAGTTTTAATTTAAACATAAAAGTGCACTATTTAATAAATTGAGTTTTGTTTGTTGTATTGTTGTTAAATTTTACTTTGTTAGACAAAATAATTTGGAATATTTTTTTACTGTTTTTTTTTTTTTTCTTAATTTCACAAAAAAAAGGAACAAAATTTTTTAAAAAGCAGAGTATTTCCTAAACAAATAAAATATCTTAATAAATGAGTATAAAAAACAAACTAAATTTTAAACATAATCCATTACTTTTCATTTTAATTTTTACTTTATAATCTTAACTCTGCTTTCTTTTCCTTCTCGCTAAACACATAAATAAGTTCTCTATATATTCTTTAATTATTAATTTATCATTGTTTTTCTTTTTAAGTACATTTAAGTAAAACTTTCCAATATCGTTTTCGTTTTCTTTTAAACTTTAATTCCTACACATAAACATAATACAAACATAATGGCGGCACTTAAAATGGCCGTTACCGGTACCGTTACTATCCAGGCATACGCTATATTACGAAACAGATGCCAATCAACACTGCCATTAGCTCTGGGCGGTGCAGCCGTGTCCTGTGCGCCTTCTTCTAATGTTTCGAATTCTTTGGTCTGTTTAACATTGTTAGCGGTGGCAGCACAGTCAAGGTTTTCATTATCTTCCTCCCGCTTTTTCGCTCCTTTAGAGGCTATATGGCCGACAAATACTACGGAGCCCACTTTACAATGGGTTGTGGAAATGGGTAACCAATTTTGCTGGCCAGCAGTACGGTTATATGCAGCACCAATTTCAATAGTAAAACCACTAAAAATTTTAAAACAAAAACATTAAAATTATTAAATAAAATTGATATTTCTATGGTCTAGTCAATAGTCCATTCTGTGAGTCTAGTCAATAGTCTAGTATAGTCCAGTCATAGTTCACTTTATAGTCTAGTCTATAGACTGACTATAGACTAGACTAGTCTAGTCTATAGTCTAGTCTAGTCTAAGTCTATATTCTAGTCTATTGTCTAGTCTATATTCCTAGTCTATATCCTAGTCTATAGTTCTAGTCTATAGTCTAGTCTATAGTCTAGTCTATAGTCTAGTCTATAGTCTAGTCTATAGTCTAGTCTATAGTGCTGTCTATAGTCTAGTCTATCTAGTCTATATCTAGTCTCTAGTCTAGTACTATAGTCTAGTCTATAGTCCTATGTCTATAGTCTAGTCTATAGTCTAGTCTATAGTCTAGTCTATAGTCTAGTCTATAGTCTAGTCTATAGTCTAGTCTATAGTCTAGTCTATAGTCTAGTCTATAGTAGTCTAGTCTATAGTCTAGTCTATAGTCTAGTCTATAGTCGTCTATAGTCTAGTCTATAGTCTAGTCTATAGTCTAGTCTATAGTCTAGTCTATAGTCTAGTCTATATCAGTCTATAGTCTAGTCTATAGTCTAGTCTATAGTCTAGTCTATAGTCTAGTCTATAGTCTAGTCTATAGTCTAGTCTATAGTCTAGTCTATAGTCTAGTCTATAGTCTAGTCTATAGTCTAGTCTATAGTCTAGTCTATAGTCTAGTCTATAGTCTAGTCTATAGTCTAGTCTATAGTCTAGTCTATAGTCTAGTCTATAGTCTAGTCTATAGTCTAGTCTATAGTCTAGTCTATAGTCTAGTCATAGTCTAGTCTATAGTCTAGTCTATAGTCTAGTCTATAGTCTAGTCTATAGTCTAGTCTATAGTCTAGTCTATAGTCTCTATAGTCTAGTCTATAGTCTAGTCTATAGTCTAGTCTATAGTCTAGTCTATAGTCTAGTCTATAGTCTAGTCTATAGTCTAGTCTATAGTCTAGTCTATAGTCTAGTATATAGTCTAGTCTATAGTCTAGTCTATAGTCTAGTCTATAGTCTAGTCTATAGTCTAGTCTAAAGTCTAGTCTATAGTCTAGTCTTAGTCTAGTCTATAGTCTAGTCTATAGTCTAGTCTATAGTCTAGTCTATAGTCTAGTCTATAGTCTAGTCTATAGTCTAGTCTATAGTCTAGTCTATACTCCAGTCTATAGTCTAGTCTATAGTCTAGTCTATAGTCTAGTCTGTAGTCTAGTCTATAGTCTAGTCTATAGTCTAGTCTATAGTCTAGTCTATAGTCTAGTCTATAGTCTAGTCTATAGTCTAGTCTATAGTCTAGTCTATAGTCTAGTCTATAGTCTAGTCTATAGTCTAGTCTATAGTCTAGTCTATAGTCTAGTCTATAGTCTAGTCTATAGTCTAGTCTATAGTCTAGTCTATAGTCTAGTCTATAGTCTAGTCTATAGTCTAGTCTATAGTCTAGTCTATAGTCTAGTCTATAGTCTAGTCTATAGTCTAGTCTATAGTCTAGTCTATAGTCTAGTCTATAGTCTAGTCTATCTAGTCTATAGTCTAGTCTATAGTCTAGTCTATAGTCTAGTCTATAGTCTAGTCTATAGTCTAGTCTATAGTCTAGCTATAGTCTAGTCTATAGTCTAGTCTATAGTCTAGTCTATACTCCAGTCTAGTCTATACTCCAGTCTAGTCTATACTCCAGTCTAGTCTATACTCCAGTCTAGTCTATACTCCAGTCTATAGTCTAGTCTAAGTCTAGTCTAGTATAGTCTATAGTCTAGTCTATATTCAGTCAAGTCTAGTCATAGTCTAGTCTATAGTCTAGTCTATAGTCTAGTTTAGTCTAGTCTATAGTCTAGTCTATAGTCTAGTCTATAGTCGTCTATAGTCTAGTCTATAGTCTAGTCTATAGTCTAGTCTATAGTCTAGTCTATAGTCTAGTCTATAGTCTAGTCTATAGTCTAGTCTATAGTCTAGTCTATAGTCTAGTCTATAGTCTAGTCTATAGTCTAGTCTATAGTCTAGTCTATAGTCTAGTCTATAGTCTAGTCTATAGTCTAGTCTATAGTCTAGTCTATAGTCTAGTCTATAGTCTAGTCTATAGTCTAGTCTATAGTCTAGTCTATAGTCTAGTCTATAGTCTAGTCTATAGTCTAGTCTATAGTCTAGTCTATAGTCTAGTTTATAGTCTAGTCTATAGTCTAGTCTATAGTCTAGTCTATAGTCTAGTCTATAGTCTAGTCTAGTCTATAGTCTAGTCTATAGTCTAGTCTATAGTCTAGTCTATAGTCTAGTCTAGTCTATAGTCTAGTCTATGTCTAGTCTATATCTAGTCAGTCTAGTCTATAGTCTAGTCTATAGTCTAGTCTATAGTCTAGTCTATAGTCTAGTCTAGTCTAGTCTATAGTCTAGTCTATAGTCTAGTCTATAGTCTAGTCTATAGTTAGTCTATAGTCTAGTCTATAGTCTAGTCTATAGTCAGTCTATAGTCTAGTCTATAGTCTAGTCTATAGTCTAGTCTATAGTCTATTCTATAGTTAGTCTATAGTCTAGTCTATAGTCTAGTCTAAGTCTATCTATAGTCTGTCATAGTCTGTCTATAGTCTAGTCTATCGTCTAGTCTATAGTCAGTTCTATAGTCTAGTCTATAGTCCTAGTCTATAGTCTAGTCTTAGTCTAGTCTTAGTCTAGTCTATAGTCTGAGTTCTATAGTCTAGTCTCTAGTCTAGTCTATAGTCTAGTCTAAGTTAGTCTATAGTCTAGTTCTATAGTCTAGTCTATAGTCTATTCTAAGTCTAGTCTATAGTTCTAGTCTATAGTCTGTCTATAGTCTAGTGATAGTTAGTCTATAGTCTGGTCTATAGTCTAGTCTATAGTCTAGTCTATAGTCTAGTCTATAGTCTAGTCATAGTCTAGTATATAGTCTCAGTTATAGTCTAGTATATTAGTCTAGTCTATAGTCTAGTCTCTAGTCTAGTCTATAGTCTAGTCTATAGTCTAGTCTATAGTCTAGTCTATAGTCTAGTCTATAGTCTAGTCTATAGTCTAGTCTATAGTCTAGTCTATAGTCTAGTCTATAGTCTAGTCTATAGTCTAGTCTATAGTCTAGTCTATAGTCTAGTCTATAGTCTAGTCTATAGTCTAGTCTATAGTCTAGTCTATAGTCTAGTCTATAGTCTAGTCTATAGTCAGTCTATAGTCTAGTCTATAGTCTAGTCTATAGTCTAGTCTATAGTCTAGTCTATAGTCTAGTCTATAGTCTAGGTCTATAGTCTAGTCTATAGTCTAGTCTAAGTCTAGTCTATAGTATAGATCTATAGTCTAGTCTATAGTCTAGTCTATAGTCTAGTCTATAGTCTAGTATAGGTCTAGTCTATAGTCCTAGTCTATAGTATAGTCTATAGTCTAGTCTATAGTCTAGTCTAAGTCTAGTCTCTAGTCTAGTCTATAGTCTAGTCTAGTCTATAGTTAGTCTATAGTCTAGTCTATAGTCTAGTCTATAGTCTAGTCTATAGTCTAGTCTATAGTTCTAGTCTATAGTCTAGTCTATAGTCTAGTCTATAGTCTAGTCTATAGTTAGTCTATAGTCTAGTCTATAGTCTAGTTCTATAGTCTAGTCTATAGTCTAGTCTATAGTCTAGTCTATAGTCTAGTCTATAGTCTAGTCTATAGTCTAGTCTATAGTCTAGTCTATAGGTCTAGTCTATAGTCTAGTACTATAGGTCTAGTCAGTATATAGTCTAGTCTTATAGTCTAGTCTTATAGTCTAGTCATTAGCTCTAGTCTTATAAGTTAGGCTAGTCTATCGTCTAGTCTTATAGTCTAGTCTATAGTCTAGCTCTAGCTCTAGTCTATAGTCTAGTCTATAGTTCTCGTCTATATCTAGTCTAGTGTCTATGTCTGTATAGTCTAGTCTATAGTCTTAGTTCTATAGTCTAGTCTATAGTCTAGTCTGTAGTCTTCTAGTCTATAGTCTAGTTCTATAGTCTAGTCGCTATCGTCTAGTCTTATTAGTCTAGTCTTTAGTCTTAGTTTCTTAGTCCCTATGTCTAGTCTATAGTCTAGTCTATAGTCTAGTTTCATAGTCTAGTTTATAGTCTAGTCTAAGTCCGTAGTCCATATGTCTAGTCTCTAGTTCTAGTCCTACTGTAGCTAGTCTATAGTCTAAGTCTATAGTCTATTCTCTAGTTCTAGTCTTATAGTCTAGTCTATAGTCTAGTCTATAGTCTAGTCTATAGTCTAGTCTATAGTCTAGTCTAGTCTAGTCTATAGTCTAGTCTATAGTCTAGTCTACAGTCTAGCTATAGTCTAGTTTATAGTCCAGTATGGGCTGTAGTCTATAATATAGATAATATTAAACATGTTAATTGTACTTACGTTGATGAGGTAATTTTGGTTAAATCATTGCCAATCGTTTCAATAACTCTACGACCCCAGAGCCATAAACCTATAGAAATGCCAATGCCACCATATATTAAAATATATATGGGACTTTCGGCCTTTTGCATCACAGAACCTTCACGATAAATCATATACAAAGCAATTAAGGGACCAATGGCATTGCTGGAGAAGGAAATAAAGAAGGAACTTGTTAATATTACTCTTGCAGAATAATTTATTTAAGAAATATTACCTAACATCATTACCACCATGGGCAAAACTACCAAAGGTGGCGGTTAATATTTGTAAAAATGAAAATAGCATAGAAACCTCTTCGGTTTCTTCATCTCCCTGGGGCTCGGATGAGAGCTTAAAATCATTTATGGCCTCTTTACTCTCGATCAAAGGAACTTTACTGGAATTGGGCGATAGCGTGGAAGAAATCATCATTTCCAAACTAGAGCCACTTTCAATGACCTTAAGATTCTTCTCTGTGGCCGGGAGTAAACTAGTTGTATTGTTACCACATTCATCTTGTGTCAACGAGGAACAGGCAGTATTATTTGTATCTTTGGTAGTGCTGATGTTATTATTAACAGCTGTGGGGGCGTTGGCTGTGGCAGCCGAGACGACATTATTGGGAAGCTCATTTGATTGTGTTAGATGCTTATCGGTTTCCAGCTGTTGTTGAGTTTTGAAACAATCCTCTAGATCCTTGGAGGTTCTATGCAAACCATTTGTGTAACCATTTAAACCATTGCCATTTTGATGTTCATCTATGAAATTTAAACTAGTAATGGTTAGATCTGTGTTATCGAGACTAGCTTTGCCCAGAAGATCTTCTGCTTTTTTAATGATTTCCGGATTGATTTTATAGCCATCGGGAGTGGTACCATTCTGCTGTTTGCCATTTAGTGTAAAGGGTGCTAATTTAAAAGTTTTGGGCGAATTGTCTGTCAACGAGACCAGCTCGGTTATTTCGGCAATTGCAGGCAGTTGTTTGCCATCGCTCACCAAAGACAGAGGGCGACGATTTTTCTTAGGACTACCGGACGGTGAAGATTCTAGAAATTTCAATGCAAAATTAATTATTATTTTACAATATTTGTTGTTGTTTTCATTATCACTCACCCACTGAAGGTTCAAAATGAAATTTAACTGGATTTTTAGCTCTTAATTGTTTGGCAATTTTACGTTTCTGCATGGGCACCACTAGCAGTTGTGTCAAAATGGCCACCAATAAACCCAAAGCAATACTAACAGTCACAGCCAACCAGGTGGGTATATTATCCATATAAAGCACTTTAGTTTTTTAAGAAAAAATGAAAAATTTTATAAGAAAATATTGATTAAAAAAAAAATCAAAAAACTCACACTTGGGACCATCCAACATAACACTGATGACATTTATGAAAAACGTAACACCATAGAAAATGGGCAACGAACGAAAACCGGCTTTCAAAGGATCATTGGCACGCAATATAAACTTTCTAATGGCCAAGAATAGTAAAATACTAACTAGACCACTGAGCACAGGTGATATAAACCATGAACCAACTATGGTACCCATGGTAGACCATTTCAAACCTTGGGTGCCTCTGGCCACTAAAGAGAAGCCAATAGTTGAGCCCACTATACTGTGCGTACCAGAAATGGGTAGTTTTAGGAATGTGGCTACCAAAAGCCAGATAGCACTACTGGCTAAGGCTGCCAAACAGCCCAACATGAGTTCATCTTCAAAGCCTTCATAGAGACCGACCTCTAAAATGCCTTTACGCATAGTATCGGATACTTTGTAGCCTAGAGAAATAGGTAAATATATTTATTTTTAATAATATAATAATTGTTTCTTTAAAATAAATAATAATTAGGCATAAACAGAATGAAAACGATTGGCGTTAAATTTTGCCGCTTAGCGGTTTTGAAAAAAGTAATGTAGTAACCATAAAAATCATATTTTAAAACTAAAATTTTTTTAGGCGGTAAATTTTTCCGCCCTGCGGCAAAAATTATCGCAATGAGAAAAAGTTAAAAATTGATCTTTTATATGCATTTAAAGCGAGTACGATTTCAATAGAAAAAACAATTTTCCTAAACAGAATGCCAGCGGCGACGGTAAATTTAAACGCTAAGCTGGTTTTATTACCTGCAAAGAGAAAAAATGCTTTGAAATTAAAATAATTATGTTATTAAATAAAATTTCAAAAAACAAAAGTCCGAAAAATCTCTAGCGGCAAACTTGATCGCTGTACTTTTTTAATATTTTTAATGGATGAAAATTAAAAATTATAAGGTGTTTGAAAAAAAATTCACATAAACAGAATGAAAGCGGCGACGTTAAATTTTAAAGGTGAGAGGTTTTTATAACCGCAAAGAAAAATATGGAAAAATATGACAACAAAAAAAATTATATAAAATTTAGGGAAAAAATCCAAAAATCTCTAGCGGCAAATTTGACCGCAGCCGATTTTTTTACATTTTTAATGGGTATAAATTAAAAATTATAAGTTTTTAAATAAGTTAAAGCAAATACGATTTAAATCTATAAAAATGTAACATAAACAGAATGAAAGCGGTGACGGTAAATTTGAACGCTCAGCGAATCTTTAAAATAAATAAGAATTAAGCCTAAACAGAATGAAAACGATTGGCGTTAAATTTTGCCGCTTAGCGGTTTTGAAAAAAGTAATGTAGTAACCACGAAAATCATATTTTAAAACTAAAATTTTTTTAGGCGGGAAATTTTTCCGCTCAGCGGCAAAAATTATCGCAATGAGAAAAAGTTAAAAATTGATCTTTTCTATGCATTTAAAGCGAGTACGATTTCAATAGAAAAAACACTTTTCCTAAACAGAATGCCAGCGGCGACGGAAAATTTAAACGCTAAGCTGGTTTTATTACCGCAAAGAGAAAAAATGCTTAAAATTAAAATAATTATGTTATTAAATAAAATTTCAAAAAACAAAAGTCCGAAAAATCTCTAGCGGCAAACTTGATCGCTTAACTTTTTATATATTTTTAATGGGTGAAAATTAAAAATTATAAGGTGTTTGAAAAAAAAATTCACATAAACAGAATGAAAGCGGCGACGTTAAATTTTAAAGGAGAGAGGTTTTTATAACCGCAAAGAAAAAAATGCAAAAATATGACAACAAAAAAAATTATATAAAATTTGGGGAAAAAATCTAAAAAATCTAAAGCGGCAAATTTGACCGCAGCCCATTTTTTTATATTTTTAATGGGTATAAATTAAAAATTATAAGTTTTTAAATAAGTTAAAGCAAATACGATTTAAATCTATAAAAATGTAACATAAACAGAATGAAAGCGGTGACGGTAAATTTCAACGCTCAGCGAATTTTTTTGCCGCACTCAAAGAAAATATTTATTTTAATTCTAGAGTAAAAAATATAACATTTTTGTAAAATTTTCAAGCGGCAAAACATACCGTTTAAACTATAAATGTGTTTATAACTTAAAATTATCTCAGTATCTAGAAGAATTTGTACTCACCTATTAGAACAGCTCCAGAAATTTCACAAACCGTAGCCAAAACACAAGCCTGACGTATAGTTAAAACGCCAGAGCCTACGCTAGTGCCAAATGAGTTTGCCACATCATTGGCACCGATGCCAAAAGCCAAAACGAAGGCGATAATAAAACCTAACACAACAATCCATAATAATTCCGCGGAATAGGGTTCCATCTTGAGGAATAACTAACAGACACACAAACTGACAAAATTACTACGACTAACAGCCAAAAAAATTAAAAGGGCTTTACTTTACTGGTTTGAAAAATTAAACTTTTTAAAGCAAAAAAAAAACTATTGTGATTAGACAAAAAGCTAAAGCTTGGCTTTAACGTTTAAAGAAAACTTTTTTATATAAAAAATGATTATTGTTTCTAAATTGAATAATGTTTTTTTGAAGTTTTCTATTGAAAAAACTGTGGACAGGGTTAAGGGTGCTTGATTGGTGACAAACTTATATATATTTTTACTTAATATTTTTCTGTTAAAAATACTATTAAATAAAAAAAAATATTTTTTTAAAATATTTGAAATTTGTTTGATTTTGTTTTTATATTTAATTTAGGGGGAGAGGTATATAAACAAACAAATTTACTTTCAAATATTTAAACAGCCATATTTGCGCTTAAATTTCATTTTTGCAATTTTCATTTTTTTCTACGAAGTTTTAAGATGAAAAGTAAATTTTAGTAATAAATTAAAGCTCTTTCTAAAAATAAATAATACTAATGTTTAGAAGTTCTTATTGAGAAAGTAAGAAAAAAAAGCCTCTTCTTAGGGAATTTTTTTCGAGTTCGAAAAAAATTATTCTTAATTTAAAATTAAAAAAATAAATATAACAAGTAACTAGTTTAATTCTTATGAGTTTCTCTAAGACGAAGAAAATGCGTTTAAACTCAAATATGAAAAAAAAACCTAATATTTTATAATAATAATTGTGGTTTAAAAATAATTTAGCGGTAAAGATGCGATTAATTAATAATAAAAATTTTGTTGGATTTTGTTTTTTTGTAAATTTTTTGTTTTTGGCTTTTTAAATTAACAAATTTCTTTGTTATGTTGAGTAAAACGTTGTTAAGATGTTGTTTATCTGTTTTAAAGAAAAAAAATTTCAATAAAAAATTTTAATAAAAAAATTCTAGAAATTTTTCTTTATAAATAATTTAAACAGTTTTAAAGTTTTGTACATACCTGGCGTTTAGAAAAGCATAACTGTTTATATGAGGTCATAAAGAGAAGTATCATGTCTGAAAAAGAAAATTTTAAAAAAATAATAAAAATATTCAACAAAATTTATATTTTATTAAAAATTTATAAATAAATCTATAATTCCTTAATAATTTTTCCCTGGAAACTAAATAGAATTTAACATTTTTCCTTTTAAATAAACAAAAAATAAAAAAAAATCGCAAGCGGCAAAATTTGTCGCCTTGCGTTTTTTTTAACCGTTTTGGTTTAAATTGGACAAATTATATTTGTTTAATCATTTAAGAAGGTAAATATGTGTTAATTAAATAAAAATAAACAAAGTAAAATGTAGGCGGCTAAATATAACGCCTTGCGGTAATTTATAAAGTTGTTGCAAAAATCCAAAATTTTAAACAATTTTGATTACTTAAATTAAATAAAAGAGAAATATATAAAAATTAAACATAAACACAATGTAAGTGGTGACGATAAAGTTTTACCGGTAAGCGGTTTTTATAACCGCACTAACTTTTAGTAATACTTCTACTAAACTTTTAATAAAAATAATAGGAGTTAATTGCATAAAACTAACGCAATAAAACGTTGGCGATATTTTTCACCTTGCGGCAATATATACCGCTATAAATTGTTAACGTCAAAGGTTTTTTTATAGCTGCAGTAAAAGAGTTGTGTCTTTTTTATAATTTAAGAAAAATTTAACTGAATTGTATAAAAAATATCATGAAAACGCAATAAAACATTGATGAAAACATTTTCCGCCCTGCGGCAATATATACCGCTCTCAAAAAAAGCAAAAATATTGAAAAATTTTAAGTTAAATAAAAAAAAATTGCACATAAACACAAAGAAAGAGGTGGCGATAAATTGTTAACGTCAAGCAGTTTTTATAGCTGCAGTAAAGGAAATGTATCTTTTTTTATAATTTAGGGAAAATATGACTTAATTGTATAAAAATATCATAAAACCCCAATAAAACGTTGGCGAAAACATTTTCCGCCCTGCGGCAATATATACCTTTCTCGAAAAAAGTGAACATATTGAAAAATTTGAATTGTTTAAAGTAAATGTAAATTAAATTGTATATACAAATTTTACATAAACACAATCATAGAGGTGGCGATGAATTGTTAACGCAAGCGGTTTTTATTGCTGCAGTAAACGAAATTTGATTTAATTTTAGAAAAACATGATTTAATTATATAAAGATAACACAATAAAACGTTTTCGGTAAAATTTGGCAATAAAACGTTGGCGGTAAATTGTGTTAATTTTTTAACGCTCTCGAAAATAAGGAAAATTTTGAAAAAATTTTATTGTTTAAATCAAAATTAAGTTTATTAAATAAAAATTTTTTATAAACGCAATGAAGTTGGTAACGGAAAATTTATACAATTAATGATTTCATTAATTGAAATAATTTTCGGCTTAGAATAAACGTTGGCGGCAAAATTTGTCGCCTTGCGGTAATATAAACCGCTTGGGTAAAAACTTAAATTTTAACAAAATTTTATTGTTTAAATATAATTATATTTAAATAAATAAAAATTTGCCATAAACACGATAAAAGCGATGGCGGAAAAATTTTACCGCTAAGCGGTTTTTTTAAACGCACTAAAAAAAAATTATTTTTAATTATAAAATGTAATTATATTTAAATAAATAAAAATTTGCCATAAACACGATAAAAGCGATGGCGGAAAAATTTTACCGCTAAGCGGTTTTTTTAAACGCACTAAACAAAAATTTTATTTTTATTTATAAAACAAAAAAAAAAGTATTTTTTTTAATCTTATTTAAAGTATAACTTATTTGTGTAAAAAAATTCTTTAGAAAATTGTCCGTTATTATAAATTTTTTGCAAAACAATAGATTTCATTTATATTCTTTTTTAAATTGAAACGATTTTTTTATCATTTAATAAAACAAACAACAAATATTCACATAAAATTTAATCCCATTGTTTAAACTTTATTAATTGTTTGAACAAAAAAAAACACAATAGAAAGAATTGTACTAATTGTCTCTTTTAAATTGTTAAAAGAAATAAAAGCTTTAATTAATTAATTTAAATAAACCACTATTTACTCTATTCTATAACAGATTTTTTTAAACGAAAATATAATAATTAAATTAAAACTAACACGAAATTGTTTGAAATTAAAAAAAAAAACAGAAAAAAGTGTCATCACAGCATAAACTGACATCATTTACTTTAAATAACATTTACATACTTTTTTATAAAAAAAAAAAAAAAAAAAAAAAACTAAATAAACTTTGGGTTTTTTTTTGTGTTAATCATTTCTATATCACATGTTTAAGGTATTTTTATCATATTACTATATAACTAATTCTTTATGTATTTTCACAACATTTCAATTAATTGCTGCTATAGAAGACCCTCCTCCCCCCTAAACCTCTGCAATCTTAGCAAAATACTACAGCTTCAGGGTCAATATAATGAAAACCAAAAGAATTTAAAATAATAATTTTTTTACCATATTTTTTAAAATTTTTTAATCTCTTGATTTTGGCAAAGAAACAACAAACAAATAATTTTTTTTAAAAAAAAGCTACAAGTTCAGCGTACGATTTACTTTTTCAAAAAGGTTTTAATTCATCAAATGTTTTTTTTTCAAATCCAATAAATTATTAAATTTTATTTAAAAAAATCTTATTTTCTCTTTTAAACCTATTGCTACATGTGTTTAAAATTATAATATTATTTATGATTTTCTTTTAATTTAAAACAAAAATTTTCTTATTCTTTTTTTTCCTGTTGCTGTTTGTTATTGAAATTGTAATGCTCGAGTTAGCAATTTATTTATAAACAATAACAACAAACAAAACAAAAATTGTAATAAATTTAAAATCAATCATACTTTTTGAAAGAAAAATAATAATTTCATTTTTGTTTAAGAACATTAAACATTAAAATTAAAAAAAAAAAAATCAAACTGTTTATTAACAAAAAATTTTGCCTTGAGTGGCAAATTGTTGTTTTAACTGATGATTTGGCAGAATTCAATAAATGAAGACGTTAAATTGCCATTTTGTGAAATATGAGTTTATTGTGGAGGGCAAAATAAAATAAAAAACATTTTCTTTATCAGGTACTAAGTGAATTTCAATATCACAAGATAATTTTTTATAAGTCTACTAATGCATAGACAAGAATTTACATCCGGCTACAACCGGCTACAGACTACAGTCTAGTCTATATAGTCTAGTCTATAGTGTAGTCTATAGTCTAGTCTATGGTCTAGTCTATAGTCTAGTCTATAGTCTAGTCTATAGTCTAATGTATAGTCTAATCTATAGTCTAATCTATAGTCTAGTCTATAGTCTACTCTATAGTCTACTCTATAGTCTACTCTATAGTCTAGTCTATAGTCTAGTCTATAGTCTAGTCTATAGTCTAGTCTATAGTCTAGTCTATAGTCTACTCTATAGTCTCTAGTCTAGTCTATAGTCTAGTCTCTAGTCTAGTCTAGTCTATAGTCTAGTCTCTAGTCTAGTCTAGTCTATAGTCTAGTCTATAGTCTAGTCTCTAGTCTAGTCTATAGTCTAGTCTATAGTCTAGTCTATAGTCTAGTCTATAGTCTAGTCTATAGTCTAGTCTATAGTCTAGTCTATAGTCTAGTCTATAGTCTAGTCTATAGTCTAGTCTAGTCTAGTCTAGTCTAGTCTAGTCTAGTCTATAGTCTAGTCTAGTCTATAGTCTAGTCTATAGTCTAGTCTATAGTCTAGTCTATAGTCTGGTCTATAGTCTAGTCTATAGTCTAGTCTATAGTCTAGTCTATAGTCTAGTCTATAGTCTAGTCTATAGTCTAGTCTATAGTCTAGTCTATAGTCTAGTCTATAGTCTAGTCTATAGTCTAGTCTAGTCTATAGTCTAGTCTAGTCTATAGTCTAGTCTATAGTCTAGTCTATAGTCTAGTCTATAGTCTAGTCTATAGTCTAGTCTAGTCTATAGTCTAGTCTAGTCTATAGTCTAGTCTATAGTCTGGTCTATAGTCTGGTCTATAGTCTAGTCTATAGTCTAGTCTATAGTCTAGTCTCTAGTCTAGTCTATAGTCTAGTCTATATAGTCTAGTCTATAGTCTAGTCTATAGTCTAGTCTATAGTCTAGTCTATAGTCTAGTCTAGTCTCTAGTCTAGTCTATAGTCTAGTCTATAGTCTAGTCTATAGTCTAGTCTATAGTCTAGTCTATAGTCTAGTCTATAGTCCTAGTCTATAGTCTAGTCTATAGTCTAGTCTATAGTCTAGTCTATAGTCTAGTCTATAGTCTAGTCTATAGTCTAGTCTATAGTCTAGTCTATAGTCTAGTCTATAGTCTAGTCTATAGTCTAGTCTATAGTCTAGTCTATAGTCTAGTCTATAGTCTAGTCTATAGTCTAGTCTATAGTCTAGTCTATAGTCTAGTCTATAGTCTAGTCTATAGTCTAGTCTATAGTCTAGTCTATAGTCTAGTCTAGTCTAGTCTATAGTCTATAGTCTATAGTCTAGTCTATAGTCTATAGTCTAGTTAGTCTAGTCTATAGTCTAGTCTATAGTCTAGTCTAAGTCTAGTCTATAGTCTAGCTAGTCTAGTCTATAGTCTAGTCTATAGTCTAGTCTATAGTCTAGTCTATAGTCTAGTCTATAGTCTAGTCTATAGTCTAGTCTATAGTCTAGTCTATAGTCTAGTCTATAGTCTAGTCTATAGTCTAGTCTATAGTCTAGTCTATAGTCTAGTCTATAGTCTAGTCTATAGTCTATAGTCTAGTCTATAGTCTAGTCTATAGTCTAGTCTATAGTCTAGTCTATAGTCTAGTCTATAGTCTAGTCTATAGTCTAGTCTATAGTCTAGTCTATAGTCTAGTCTATAGTCTAGTCTATAGTCTAGTCTATAGTCTAGTCTATAGTCTAGTCTATAGTCTAGTCTATAGTCTAGTCTATAGTCTAGTCTATAGTCTAGTCTATAGTCTAGTCTATAGTCCAGTCTATAGTCTAGTCTATAGTCTAGTCTAGTCTATAGTCTAGTCTATAGTCTAGTCT